TGCGAGGGATCAGCGAGGGATTTTGTAGAAGAAATTTCCCTCGCAAATTAGCGAGGGATCAGCGAGGGAATGAGTTTTTTGGCATTTCCCTCGCTGATCCCTCGCTGAGCGAGGGAAATTTTCCCTCACAGATCAGCGAGGGAACAGCGAGGGAATGAGTTTTTTGGCATTTCCCTCGCTAATCCCTCGCTGATCTGCGAGGGAAAATTTCCCTCGCTGATATTCGTCGCTGATACCTGTTTTTCTAGTAGTGATAGTGACCTAACATTTGGTATCAGAGCAAGTTATGCACGAAATCAAGAAGAAAAAATCTTTAGATCTGAAAACATTTTGAAGAAATTTTCTGTGTTCTTCATGATATTCATCTTGTTCTTCATTTTTCTTTGATTTTGATCCAATTTTTTTTTTAAAAATTTCGTGTTTTTGTGTTAAATTTGGGATCAAATTGTGCGGAATTAAACTGTGAATCTTTGTTATTCACAATCCTTTGTGATTTGATCGATAGTTTTTTCAAGATTTGGTGAATTTTGTATTTTGAAATTTTTTTGTGTTCTTAAATTTTTTTTTAAAATTTTTCTGTTTGATCCAATTTTTGTAAAAAAAAATTCTGTTTTGTGTTTTTACCCAGCCCAAGGCCCATCCGGATTATTTGATTGTCCAGTCCATCTATTTCACCAAATCGCACAACTTCACTCTATCTCCTTCATCGCATCGCTCAGGCAGACTCGAGAAATCGCTCAGAATTTTATCCTATTTTGAGATAAATCGCTTATAGCTTCATCCGATTTGAGGTTATATCGCTCATTCCCTTATCCGATTTCAACCTTAATCGCACAGTACTTTGTCCGATTTCACTCTTAATCGCTCAACATCACTGTTAATTTGATTTGGGTTATATCTCCTTGACCGGATTCATAAATCGCTCAACATATTTTCACCGGATTTCTGAATCGTTCAGTATATCGCTCACGGCTTCATCGGATTTCATCTTTATCGCACAGCAACCTTTCTTCGATTGAGTTTTTCATTGGTCAAGGCTTGATCGATTTCTGCATATATCGCTCAAAAGGCTTTCAAATCGAAGAATTCTAGTGTATGACGTAGCAGTTCCGGTGCTGGTCTTAAGAATTTTGATGATTCTGTCTCTGGTCGAGTTCGAGTTGCTATTAGATTGAAACCTCAAAATGCTGAGGAGATGGTGGCAGATGTTGATTTCACCGATTGTGTGGAATTGCAACCAGAGTTTAAACGGTTGAAACTTCGAAAGAACAATTGGGATTCTGATACCTATGAATCGATGATGTGCTCACTGAGTCTGCATCACAGAAGCGTGTTTATAAAGTTGTTGCGAAACCTGTAGTGGAGAGTGTTCTAGATGGTTACAATGGGACAGTTATGGCTTATGGTCAAATTCTCATACATTTTAACTAGACTCCAACCATCTCGAAGAAGAGAAGCAGCTAGTGCTGTGCCTGAAATACCTGCTGGAATACTGGGAACAAGCATTAGATTATTTCCATCCACTTCATTGGCATCGGTAGCGCCTCCATATGCTTTCGTGTTGAACCTGCTCATCTGCAGAAGATTAATCTGATCGGAATTTCTGCAATTTTCCAAACCAGGAACCAGCAACACTCACTTCATCATCATTCCCTTCTTCTGAGAAGGAGGTCACACTTGGAGGGTTGCTTAAGGAACCAAGAGTGGGAGTCTGCAGACTAGATCTCGTAGTGCTTTTCAGTTGAGAATTGGATTGCAATTGAGATTACATTTTCAATATACTGCTGACTGTGCTTCATAACATGTTGTGGTTTACAGCATTGAGAAACAATTCCCAGCTCATTTTCACATACTAGTTTGATCCTTGCATAAGTTCCTTTTGCTTCTGAAAGAATAACAAACAACATTTGTAGTTGGTTTACATGATTGGGGATATCCATTGGATGATATGGGTGTAGTTCTATTGCATGGACACCCAATAGTTCTGTTTTTGCAGTTTGCTGGAAGTTAAGAGGACTTACAGTGTAGTCAATATCGTTAAATAGCTTTCTCTTGATATCTTGTCCGAATTTAGTCCAAGTCACTCATCGTTGTGTCCGTATTAAGATTTAATCGCTCATCTGACTTGTCCGGATACCTTCCTCGGTTACTTTACTTAGTCGCAACTCACTTTCTCGTAGCCTTATCCGCAAAAAAAATTGTACGGTTTAGAGGTACCTCGAACAACCCTTAGTAGCGATTCATCCCAACCCCGTGTCCGATTTCAGCTTGGTTTGGGCTTAACTCATCTTGGGCTTAAATTTTTTTTTTTTTGGTTTAATTGTTTTGGTTTTTGGATTTTGAGTTTTATTTTTTTTATTTCAATTTTGGATCATTTTTATCAGATTTTATCTGTTTATGTTTTGTTTTTGAACTGTTTCAGATTTCTTGATCTATTTTTCGTCGCGTAAACTGTTTTTATCAGTTTCAACAGTTTTTGACTGTTTTTACTGATTTTTGACAGTTTTTCGCTGATTTTCTGATTTTCTCAACAGTTTTTGTGTTTTTCTGTTTTGTTTTTAAGCTTAATTGTTTTTTATTTCTTTTAAATGATTTCAAAGCATTTGATCCTTTAATCAATCTTGATTTTTGAAAATGGCAATATATAATGAGAGGGAATATAAAGAGCTTAAAGAAAAATATGATAAACTAGATTCTGAGTTTAACAAGAACGCAAGGTGGACAATTCGTCTAACTGGTTATAATGAAAAGAGAAGGAAGAGAAGAAGATTTTGCAACAAAAGCTGAATGACTTAATGAATAATGGTTCAAGTTCTCAAGATAATTTGAAACTGAACAAACAGATTGAGGACTTAACAGCTAAAATGCATAAATCTGAAAGTGAATTGTTTGATGTAAGTAAGTTACTGGATTTCGAGAAAGAGAAGGTTTTAGAAACTGAAAAGAGGTTTGATGCTGAAAGGAAAGTGTTTGAAAGCAAGATAAAAACATTAGAGCTGAATGTCACTTTGCTTTTAAAACAAATATCAGATTTTGAACAAGTTATCATCTTGGAACGATCCAAGTTTGATAAAGTGAAGAAAGAGTATGAAGAAGAATGTCAAAGAAAGAATTTGGAATTGTTTGACAACATTGTTCAGAAGAAGAAAGAATTAGATGAAGAGAAGAGAGTGTTTGTTCTCGAAAAGAAAAACCCTGCCAAGAAAAATGCTGCAATTCTCAAAGAGCTTACAGAGAAAAAGAAACGGCTTGACATTGCTTCAGAAAATGATAAGGAAAGTTCAGATGAAGAAAGAAAGAAGTTTAAGAAAGAAAAGTGTTT